TTTTTTTTTTAGGGAAACACGACCTCCTGTGCGCCCAGCAAAGAGCTTCAAATCCAGCTCCAGCTCGTGATGCCTGCCATTGCCTGGCGCAAACCGTTTGGATGACGTTCTTTCAGGTTGGGCTGCGCAGGGCAGTCGCCCAGCTATCGCGGTCGGCATTTGTGCGCGGCCAATGCCTCCGACAACACCAGCCGACCTTCCCGTCGCCCAAGATCACCAAGCTTGCCTGCGCTGCGAAAGCTGCCCGAACCTACTCCTCCCCTTCGGTCGCCAGCCAGCTCCCCAAGGCCGACGCGCAAATCTCGGTCCCAAAGGATGAGCCCGCACGCTCAGCGAAGCAATCCTCGTGGCCGGAGCAGAATCCAAAGTCGGTTGCATACTGGCTCATCGGCAGCGCCGTCAGTGTCTTTGGTATTGTCGTCTTCGGTGGCCTGACGCGGTTGACGGAGTCAGGGTACGTGTCTCGGTGATACGATGGCTGATGATCTGAGAACTAAACCACTGTTTTACAGCCTCAGTATCACGGAATGGAGGCCCGTAACGGGGTCTTTGCCCCCTCTCTCGCAGGCCGACTGGGAGTCGGAATTCGACAAGTATCGCGCCTCGCCCGAGTACAAGCTCATCAACCCGCACATGGACCTGGCCGAGTTCAAGAAGATCTACTTTATGGAATGGACACACCGGCTCTGGGGTCGCTTCATTGGCCTGACGTTCGTGCTTCCCACCGTCTACCTTGTCGCTCGCCGTCGCGTAACCTCACGGATGGCTCGGACACTTGTCGGCATCTCTGCGCTCATCGGCTTCCAGGGTTTTATTGGATGGTGGATGGTCAAGTCGGGCCTGAAGGACGACCTATTTGCCCCCGGTTCCCACCCGCGCGTTAGCCAGTACCGTCTGGCGGCGCATCTTGCGACCGCCTTTTTCTGTTATTCGTGGATGCTCCTAGCCGGACTTGGTATCATGCGCGCCAACCGGGCGCTTCAAGACCCGTCCGCCGCGGTCCAGGCTTTCCAGAAACTGCAGTCACCCGCACTCAAAGTGCTCCGCGGATCCGTTGCTGCTCTGACCATCCTCATCTTCACCACCGTTCTCTCGGGCGCCTTCGTTGCTGGCCTCGACGCAGGTCTCATCTACAACGAGTTTCCGAAGATGGGCACCGGGTATAAGCCGCCGAACTCGGAGCTCATGAATAAGTTCTATTGCCGCAAGGAGGACGGCTCGGATCTTTGGTGGCGCAATATGCTGGAGAACCCGTCCATGGTCCAGTTGGACCATCGGATCCTAGCCATGACTACCTTCACCGCTGTTCTGGCTCTCTTCGCCTACAGCCGGACGGGTCGGTTGAAGGCGGCAATGCCCAAGGACGTCCGCAAGAGTGTAACTGGCCTCGTTCATCTCGTCTCTCTGCAGCTCGCTCTAGGCATCAGCACCCTCATCTATATCGTCCCGATATCTTTGGCCGCGGCCCACCAGGCCGGTGCTCTTGCGCTTCTGACTGGTGTTTTGGTGCTTGGTCAACGCCTGCGTGTGCCCAGGAGTACGCTGGCTCTGGTGCAAAAGAGGCTCCTTCAGACTGCCAAGCGACCGTCGGGTCATTGAACGCACTTTCATCTGTAAGACTGTTGTATATACCCAACGGGAACCCGAGACATGTACATGTAGGATAGATGGGCGGATGGGGGACTCCGCGGGACAATTCGACTCAACATTTTGGCAACTCCGGTGTTGCTATCTCGACTCGAGACACTTCATTCCGAAGTTAGCCATGAAGTGCTGACTTGCTGCTTCGTCGCAGACCGTCCGACCCCAGATTCCAGCTAGCGGTGTGTCAGCCGGGCGGACCAATGTAACGGGTACAACTTCCGTTTCACGAAAGAAAGCCTGTGACACCAAATTCACGCAGGTAAAGTTTGCGGGTTGGACAAACCCCTACACGCATCCGTATCTGCGAGAGGTTTGTGAACAGTCGCACCTTCCTCGTTCTCTTGGCAAAGCCAGTCTGTCAACTACCCAAACGCCATCTCTGAGCAGGTGCCCCGCCAGCGGAAGTCATGCTTGCACATTCTAAGGCCTGAAAATCCAAGTTTTTGACTCATGGGAACCTCGCTGCAGATTTGCCCTGGACTCAGCTCTCTTCATCCCTACCTGGGACATCGATGGGTCGCCACCTGCATCCCGGGATTTGCTCCGTCTTTTCAGATTGGTCCTCGATCATGTGATGGTGTCCTGTCACTTCACCGGCATACGTGCAGTGCCAAACAACCTCCCAACAGACCGATGCACGGTGCGCCTGTCTGGGGAAAGCGCCACGGAAACCCCCTTGGGTACATCAGCTTCACCTCCACTCCTCACCTCGCCTCCCACCCACCTCGCCTCCCATCCACCTGGCCATCTGTCAGAGCTGTCAACAGCAAGCTGCATACTCGCAGCCCGGGGATACCTACACCTCTTCAGCGGAGCGTTAGTCCCACCGAAATGCACGAAGGGTTCTCTCGCCCTCATCGGCCCACAGACCAGCCTTGTGCTCTCTGAACTCGAGCGTTGGCATCGAGATTATGTCTGAGGCTCCTTCTTCCCCGCTAATGCATGACACCAACACTCTTCTGTCTGCATCACGATATCTTAGCAGCGTGGGAGGAGACTCTCCGGCAACCCCCGGCACACCATTGCATGTACGTAAACCCATTCGACGGGCGCTAGTGTCAGCTCTCTGTAAACCCCTCAACACAAGCAAACTGTTTCCCATGCATGGCTGCAAACTGGAGGGCTCTTGGCCGGGTACATCCCAGCCCACGTCCCGTCACACACCCACGCAGCTGGCCGCCTCTATCGATAGGGGATGCCGGCTACGAGATCCCGCCGGCGTTGCGCCGTCCCACGTCAAGGCGGCATGCCACAGTACAGATGTCGCCTTTCGGGGGACAGTGCACGCCAAGCATGGAAGTCGTCGAGGAGTGGATGGAATTCCCATGTTTCCTTGACTGCACTTTTGCGGCGGCGGACTTGTTTCTCCGACCCCAGCCGGCCCACATCCCACCCCCCGAGACAACGGCAAACTGCATGCCGTTTTCTTCACGTTGTCGGAGACATTCAGGCAACAACCCCGGCGGTAGCAAGTGTTCTAGGTCGTTTTCTCAGGACCAATAAGTGGCCCCCTCGACAAAGTGACACCGGAGGTCAACAATGCAAGCCACGTTCTGGGCACTCTACACGGCTTTCGGCAGATTCAGCGCAGCACGATGTCGTACTTGGACACCGCGGCTGTGGCCACGAGGGCGGCGAGACACTTGCTCCCCAGCACTCGGCCCGGGATTCAGAGATGGGAGATGAAGATTGCCTGTGCAAGGCATACGACACACACAATGATTCGCCAGGTTCTTATGGAACCTCCGTCCTCCATCTAAGCTGAGCGGCTAGAGTATCACAGTACATCAAGGAAGCCCAAATATGAGCCCTCACTTTTCGTGAGCCACCCTGCAGCATGTCAATGCCAGCTGTCGTTTGCCGGAGGTGTGGTTCCGCCTATGCCCCTTGAATGACTGTTCGGGGCTCGGAACCGGAGCAAGCGGGTTGCAGATGTATGCTTGTTTGCTTCGAGGCACACAACAACAAACCCGGCTCCCTCTTCCCACCCTACCCATCTATAAGGCTCTGGACATGGCCATCACTTCACTCTCTTTTTTGTTCCCATCATCTCAACTTACAGGACCTTCTAGTAACCTCAACCTCATGTTCGCAGTGGACGATGCTTGGGATGGCGATTCGTTGACCAGCATACCGGTGCCGATGAACACTTGCTGTTACTAGACAGCCGTTCTCGTGTGGTTATTGACAATTCGTTTTTTTACTTCTATGATACTACATTCAGAATCAACGGTCAACACGGACCTTGCCGTTTTCACCGCGGACACTCGTGTCTAAGCGATACTTTTGAGAGCTGGGGGGGTGAACACTCGACAGCACGGCCAGACACGTACTCGCCCCCAACCACACAACTTCCGGTACGAGCCGGATACTAAGGCTACGGTTGGCCTTGTTAGAGGTCATATCCTTTAGGATTTCGAACCAGTTGGCACACGGGGCTCCACTGGTCCGACTTTCAAGATTCCTAGACATCGAAACCATGTGCCAACAAATCGACTTCGTCTGGGGCTGCGGTCACCGCAGCTTCGCCAAGTTTGACAACTGCATCAACTTTGGGCGGACTTGCTATGGCGCTGGCGGTGCCCATGTTGATCGAGCGGTGCCTGGGGACTGCAGAGAATGCGAGATTCGCAAGCACGACCCGAACCCGAATGCTCGATTCAACGACCCTTATAGGAAGGGTTCTGCCCGGAGCGGCAAACGGTAGACTTGCGGGGGTCGCACCCTCCCACGGCTGCGACCACTCGGTACAGGAGTCGGCGAAAATAGATTCAGATGGGTATGCAATGGCCACATGTTGATATCCAACCCCATGCGGAACAGCAATGGCTAACAAGCTCTCTAGGAGGCCGCCCTCGAAGAGATGGATGCTTTGGAAGGCCGTTTTTATTCAGGTTCAGCTGATAGGCGTTATCACCGCAGTCAAACATCCGTCAGTCCGGGCTGGGAGGACTACACGGTCTTGAAAACAATAGACTGCTTCTTTGGAGAGCAACACAAATACAGAGTACCTGTTACACTGCATCCTGTCCGATCCCACCTCCGACTTTGTGATACTTACCACGTGGACGACTCAGGTCCTCCCGTTGCTTTGGATCTCTTGGTATGGGAGCATCGAGCTCTGTTTGAGAACTTCCGGGCCGCACTCTGTCAGCGTACATCTGTGCAAAGGCAACACCGAGCTGTGCTCCATCTCTGTCTCTGTCTCGGGCTGACCCGAGGGCTTGGTCCCGTGTCTCCTTGCGAGCGCCGGCTGTCCTACCGCTCGGTCCGGTGTAATCCAGAAGGGAGGGCGGCATTTCACAGTGAGGGGAAGGGAACTTGAAGGGAAGGGGGGGGGGGGGGGGCAAAAAGAAGGGTTCGTCCGGGTATTGAACCCGGGATCTCTCGCAAGATGCTGTTGGGTGTTGCCCTAAGCGAGAATCATACCTCTAGACCAACGAACCTGGTGGATAGAATCCTCTGGGGGGTTGTTGGCGGGTTGTTGGCGGGTTGTTGGCGGGTTGTGGGTGGAATTGGAATTTGTGAGAGGGCTGTGGGCAGCAATGGGGTGAAGGTGGAGGTGGATGTGGGTGCAGTATGAGTCCGTTCGGGGAGGGTTCAGGTTCAGGGCCTACCGGGGAGGTGGGGGTTTTGGTTAGGGAGGTGCTTTGTGTTTGGTGAATGTCTTTGTTAGCGGTGGATTGGATGGAGGGTATGTGTTGATAGCTATAATGATAGAGTTCGACATGCCCCTGAAAGGTGTGGAAGATATTTTGCGAGCGAGATTGCTTGTCATGACAGGAGAAAAGGAGATTATTAGTAGGTGCTTCCAATGGTCCACTCTGCTGAGGCTCTTGTCTGCTCATTTGCCTTGCGTTTACCGCATGGGGGTCATTTGTGGCTCTGTAGGCGCTTGCCAGTCTTTGTCTTTGTTCATCCCGTGTTTTGTTGTCTGATTGCTGATGGCTTCATATGGCTGGAGCGCTGACTCTTACACGCCATACTGAGGAGCACTGGAGGCAAACCGGCATCGCAGAATGCCAACTGCCTCACACGATACAGGGCAGCATCCTTTTACTTTTGACCACGGGGAAGGGTCACAGATAGACAGACTTTGTATGGTTCAAGCCACCTGCCAGGATTCCTGCATGGCAAAGAACATCATCACCTCAACACATTTTGGAAGTCTTTGTGTTGTTGGAGATACTGAAGTGAAGTGAAGGGATATAAGCCTCGAAGGGTCACAGGAGATGATCAAATCGTGCAAAGCTATCGATTTGAAGAGGACAGATCTGGATATAAAGGGTATCCTCGCAAGCCTCCAATCTAACCTCCAAAAACCAAGATGGCCGACCCGCAACTCGGGTTCTCCTGGAATGTCCGGTTCTTCACAGCCTATGATCTTTTCGGGAGTCCTGATTTCTTTCCGGGCTTTGAGCGTCACAAGAAGCTTGGTGATCATGGGAAGAATCATCCCATTTGGGGACTAGCTGCTCCGCCACCGGAACCCAAGGATAACGTCTTCAAGGGCCCCGAGATCAATGTGCGCCCTATTCCACCGCGGACGGATAAGTGAGACTACATTTATGGGCTTCTAGGTTTCCTAATTGGCAGGTTCTGTACTGTGTTTCGAGTTTGTCTTTGAGGAGGATCACTTGCACAAGCAAGTCGACGCCAAGAGACGGAATGGGAGTCAGGGAACAAACGGTTTCAAGGTCGTATTGATTGAGTTGTTTGCGAGTTCATGTTGCTATCGCAGAGGATCTAATGTTCCACGTTGGAGGAGTGTGTGTTGGCTTCGTCTTCGAGCTACTCAAAAAAAAACATGAGAAAAAAGAAGAGAATAAATGGTTTTCTTTCTCAAATAGATACGTGCTGTTATTCTTCAATGCTCCGCGCATCGTGCTGTTCGGATCTTATTCATTGCGTTCTCAACGTTGGTTCAGCTGCGTGTAAGTGGTAGTAGCACAGTGTCTCTTAATTTCGATACTGTCGATGCCAGCGGAATTTTCGCGGTAGCACCGTGTGGAATAAAACAGCTAAAGTTTTCGCACAGTGCTTTTCCTCACGCATCCTTCACCTTCACAACAATTCTCAAACAGCAATTCTAGAACCGCAAGAACCGTGAAGATGTGGGCACAAGGCCTGTTCAATTTCATCTCCAACTGCTTCGGTGTAAGTTATATCCAACTCCATCATCCCATCTCCTGGAATTCGGTTGGCGCACGTGCCACAATTGGCCGGATAAGCGATAAGTTGCCGCTGTGGGGTTTTACCACGCTGCAACTTGGAGCTCCATCAAGCCACCGCGCGCCTTCCCCTCCAAACTCCAACCTCCATCTCCAATTCGAGGTCGCAAACTGCGCTCCAAAATTCTCAACGCTGACCGCAACATCTCCAGGTCTGCGTGGAGCCGCTGAACGCCCTGGTTGGAAACTGCTTCACTTCCATTGACGATACCACCGATTCCGACTACGACGACACTCCCCTCCTCAGCGCCGACAATCCCCACTGTGGCACCTACGGCGCCTACGCGGCGAGCACCAGCTCCGAAGAATCCACCCACGTTACTATTGTCATCCCTCCCCTGCCGCCCAACATGGTTCCCCCCGCGCCCGGAATGATGCCGCTTCCCCCTCCTCTCCTCCTCACCAAGCGAGTCACTGCCTTCCTCCGCGCCAATCTCTCTGACCTTCTCCGTGCCGCTGTCCTCACCACCCCCGCCGGGAACCTCCTCGTGCATGCTAGCAACCTGCCCGCGAGCGTTCTCCGCCGCCAGTGCGCCGTCGCTGCCTCTCTCTGGGCCATGCACAGCCCCTCCCCGACCAGCGCCAACGCCGCCACCCACAACGGCGAAGGCAGCAGCAGCGGAAGCTCCCCCGCCCCTCCCACCGGCAGCGCCGCCCCCGCCCCCGCCGTGACCGTCCAGCTCGACAGCGGCGCAGTCTTCGTCATCCGCCAACTCCAGTGCGGCATGCTCTTCATCTGCATGGGAGGCGAGGAGGGCCCGGCGACCTCCTCCGCCACGGCATCGACCACCGCGACGGCTTCCGGTAGCACGGCCAACGACAACGACACCGGCGAAGACCTCGGCACCGGAAGCGGAGCCAGCACCGGCAGTGGCGCGTCCCCTCTGGCGTCGCCGTCGGAGGTGGACAGCGTCCACAGCACCGGCACCGCTGGCGGCGGGACGACGACCAGCCAGGGAACGGCGGGCACTGCGGCGGCCGGCGGGCTCTCCCCCGCCAGCGTGTTGGCCCTCCGCCGGCAGGTGGAGGAGCTGGCGCGCTGGCTGGACGCTCGGCTCGGCTCGCTGTACGTGCCCGAGATAGGAATTGGGGCCAGACTCGGGGTCGGAGCTTAAGCTCGACCAGGAACTTGTGTTTTATTTCGGCGGGCATGGCAAGCATGGCGTTTGGAACGTGTGGGAATTGTATTTTGCATTTTATAAATGGGAAAGGCCCTGTCTTGGAGTGGGAAGGCGTTGGTTGGGCGGCATAGCAGGCGAAAACTGCAGCTGGGCATATTGGGCGTCTAAAAGGGCCTACGGGCATGCGGTCTTAATTGAGAGGCGATACCCGATGACACTTGTCTGTGCGTGAGAATGTGAGATGTGCGGAAGGGCATAGGCGACTCGTTGTTGCTGCTAGGTGGATGTATGCCGAGTACCAGGTGTAGTGCGACAGCGCTCTCATCCGGAATAGCTTCACCGCGAGCCCTCCAATCTGAGCTGCAGCGAGGGTTGATTTTCACGATTTGTCACCTTCACTTTGCAGTCAAGAATCCCATCCCTGGCTCACCCCCGTTGCATTCAATCTGCATTTCATTTTGACTCTTCAGCTCTTACTCAACCCAAACCCCATAATTATGCGTATTGTCAACCTATATGCCAATCCAGCCCCATTCCATGCCCTACCCACCCCGTCCGTTCCATAACCCATATGTAATACTTGGCTTCTCAAAAATACATTATAATGCGAGTTTTTGCTAACTGATGCGCTCCCCACTGAACACCACGAGCCCAACCTCGTCTCAAAGCAAGCCATCACTCTACGCCGGAACCTAGAGTCGTTATATCATAATTCCCCTACTCGATGCTCAACCTGGTGATGCCATCGTTTGTATCTACCATCCCTTGAAATCCAATCCGTCCCTTTGTTCGGTTTCCTGCTCCGCTACCGTTTTCGCTCGGGGCGCCACTGCCACTACCGCTTCCTGTTTTTCCAACTGTGTCTCCGCCGACGCTACCTGGTCGCGAGCCCCAGGGTGCCATGTCCCGCTGCAGAGGACTCTGCATCACAGGCGAGTTGTGGGCGCTCATACCGGGACTGACGGCGCGGCGTTTGAAGCTTACGGGGTCGAAGTCGTCGTCTCGGCGGCGCTTGCTGTTAATCCTTCGGGTAATCTCTGCGGCGGTGGGCGGACCGGGAACTGGGACCGGAGCGGTAGTTGTGCTAGAGAGACCGGGGATGCCGGTAGAACTGCCTTGGCTCGCGGCTATAGGCTGCGATTGGGGCTGTGGGGTACCGTTCCCTGAGCTGCTAGTTGTGGTGAAGGCGCTTCCTAGCAAGGCAAACGGGTTCTGGCTGTTCGAACTCGCGGAGGGCGAGTCCATGCTTATGTCGTCAGCGCTTAGGCCCGAGGACGAGGCCCGAGCCGCCCCGAAAGACGGAGGTGGAGGCGTAATCCGCGGTGGGGCACCCTCCGGAAATCCGTCCCAGAAGAGTTTGCCCTTAGAGTTCTTCAACGCTGCCCGGTTGAAACTGCTGCCAGCCAAACCAAGACCGTTTCCAGGCCCGCTACCGTTCCCGCTGCTGGATGAATCCATCATCATAATATCATCGACGAGCTCATCGAGAGTATCCTGTGTCCCAAGGTTGGGACTCGAGAGGGCGGTTGTTGCAGCGGAGTGGGTTGTTTGCGTATTTGCGAATCGCGTCTCCAAGTCCATATCACTCTCGCGCACCTGGCGCACAACTTCGGCCTCTCGGCGGACTTCGGTATCAATAGGCGCACCTTCTTCCGCGAGTGCGGCGCGGATGCGCGCGAACCCCTTTGTCTTTGGCTATGGAGAATGTCAGCAGGCGCAGGAAAATATGACAGAGAGGTGGGTACGAACCAACAAGTTTCCGCGACGAGTAACGGCTCTCCGGATGACGCCCGGTCGTGATGGACTGTCCATGCCGTCAAGCTTTCTGTTTACATTGTCGTCGCTATCGTTGCCAGAGATGTGGAGTTGGTTGGCGGCCCAGCTGATGCTTTCTCTTCGCGCGTGGGGGCTTGTCATTTCTTTCGGCAAGGCAAGGTTCCCGGGTGGGGACTTGGACATGGCGCCGGGCCCGGCGGGAGAGTGAAAACCTACCCCGATGGGCCCCCGAAGCTTCTTTTTTCTGTTCTGTTTCCGCTGCCGCTGACGTTGCTGAAAACTCAGGAGGCTGTTGACCGCAGGCGATCCCCCAGGCAT